TGCATAGTAATGACCACCTTCATCTATTTGAAGATCATGTCATGTGATAGTGGTTGCTAGGGCAAGAGAACAAAAGATAAAAGATAGAGAAAGGGAAATATTTATAAAGTATGGGAGTTAGAATTGTTTTTTGTTTAGGGACAGTTTGAAGCAGTCAGAAGAGGTAATGGAGGTTATATCTAGAGACAGGTTATCCATTCTACTATGGTACGAGGGGAAAAGGATTGTTGTCGTACCTGTGTTCTACATGAGAGTGTTTGATATGAGTTCCGGTGTGCGTGTCTTGTGTGGCGGGATGGAGGTATGAGTTGGGTGTTGTCGTACCTGTGTTCTACATGAGAGTGTTTGATATGAGTTCCGGTGTGCGTGTCTTGTGTGGCGGGATGGAGGTATGAGTTGGGTGTTGTCGTACCTGTGTTCTACATGAGAGTGTTTGATATGAGTTCCGGTGTGCGTGTCTTGTGTGGCGGGATGGAGGTATGAGTTGGGTGTTGTCGTACCTGTGTTCTACATGAGAGTGTTTGATATGAGTTCCGGTGTGCGTGTCTTGTGTGGCGGGATGGAGGTATGAGTTGGGTGTTGTCGTACCTGTGTTCTACATGAGAGTGTTTGATATGAGTTCCGGTGTGCGTGTCTTGTGTGGCGGGATGGAGGTATGAGTTGGGTGTTGTCGTACCTGTGTTCTACATGAGAGTGTTTGATATGAGTTCCGGTGTGCGTGTCTTGTGTGGCGGGATGGAGGTATGAGTTGGGTGTTGTCGTACCTGTGTTCTACATGAGAGTGTTTGATATGAGTTCCGGTGTGCGTGTCTTGTGTGGCGGGATGGAGGTATGAGTTGGGTGTTGTCGTACCTGTGTTCTACATGAGAGTGTTTGATATGAGTTCCGGTGTGCGTGTCTTGTGTGGCGGGATGGAGGTATGAGTTGGGTTTTAGTTATGTTGACTTTGTCATGTATAGTTTTGTGTAGTGTTGTCAGTCGCATGACTCTCCTTCTGTCTTCAAGTGATTGTCAGTTAAGGTGTTGAAGCATGTCACCAACACTGGAGGTGTTTCTAATTTTGTTGGTGACTAATCTGGCTGCTCTACGCTGCACCATTTCTATTTTGTTTATGTCCGTTTTAGTATAAGGGTCCCAAACTGAGCAGGCATATTCTAGGGATGGTCTGACAAGTGTTTTATATGCCCGCTCCTTGACAGATGTCGAGTTTATCTTTAGATTTCGTCTGAGAAAGCCTAAGGTGGAGTTGGCTTTCCCACAGATGTTATCTGATGTGACATTCCCACTTCAGATTTGACTGTATAGTGACACCTAAATATTTTGCTTTGTCTACGTGTTGTAATTCCTTTCCGTGCAGCATGTATTTGTGATGTTGTGGATGTTTGTTCTTGGTGATGGAAAGGACGTTACATTTGTCAGGATGGAAGGACATTTCCCATGCTATCTCCCATAGAGCTAGTTTGTCTAAATCTTGTTGCAATAGCTGGGCATCAGATGGTGATTTGATAGTAAGATAGACAATGGTTTCATCTGCAAATAGACCTACAGTGGAATGGAGGCCAACAGGAATGTCGTTTATATAGAATAGAAAGAGGGATGGACCAATAACCGAGCCTTGAGGGACACCTGACTTGACATCGACAATGCTACATTTTCCCCCTTCAACAATAACAGCCTGCTTCCTATTATCCAGGAAGTTTTCTATCCAGGTGTTAACCTTCTCATTTACACCATAATGACGAAGCTTATGACAAAGAAGCGAAAGACTAACCTTGTCAAAGGCTTTAGAAAAATCCATAATTAAGACATCGGTTTGTTTTCCCTTGCCAATGTTGGAGCTGACATCATCAACAAATTCAATGAGCTGACTCTCACATGATACTGACCTTCGAAAACCGTGTTGGAGTTGGTAAAGGATGTTATGTTTGTCAGCGTGGTTCATGATGTTACTGACCACTATGTGTTCTAGAAGTTTGCTACAAATACATGTGAGAGAGATTGGCCTGTAATTTTCTGGATTTAATTTAGAGCCCTTTTTATAGACAGGAGAGACATGCGCTAACCTCCGATCAGAGGGAACTGCGCCAAAATGAAGAGATTCGTTAAAGATGATAGAGAGGACAGGGGCAATTTCAGAAGAGAGTTCTTTTAAGATCTTGGGCTTCAACTCGTCAAGGTCCAGCTGCCTTACTAGGGTTTAAATTTTGCAGTAGTTTTTGTACGCCATTTGGAGTGATATCAAATTCTGGCACGATGGGGAACTGGATGGAAGATGGGATATTACATTTTTAAAGAATTCATCAGAGGATAATTTACCACCTGGGCTAAAGACAGACTGAAACTGAGTGTTAAGGGTCTCAGCCTTACCTACAGGGTTAGTGCTATAATAATAGCAGTCTTTATACCTAAACTGAAGTATAATAATAGCAGTCTTTACACCTAAACTGACTGGGACAGACAGGACAGGTATAAGAGTCTTAGAAGGCTGTATCATTTGAGGGACAGACAGGACAGATATAAGAGTCTTAGCTGGCTGTGTTATTTAAGGGACAGACAGGACAGATATAAGAGTCTTCGATGGCTGTGTCATTTGCATTGAGGGACAGACACGACAGATATAAGAGTCTTAGATGGCTGTGTCGTTTGAGGGACAGACAGGACAGATATAAGAGTCTTAGATGGCTTTGTCATTTATGGGACAGACAGGACAGATATAAGAGTCTTAAATGGCTGTGTCATTTGCATTACGGAACAGATATAAGAGTCTTAGATGGCTGTGTCATTTAAAGGACAGATAGGACAGATATAAGAGTCTTAGATGGCTGTGTCATTTGAGGGACAGACAGGACAGATATAAGAGTCTTAGATGGCTGTGTCATTTGCATTGAGGGACAGACAGGACAGATATAAGTGTCTTAGATGGCTGTATCATTTGAGGGACAGACAGGACAGATACAAGAGTCTTAGATGGCTGTGTCATTTGAGGGACAGACAGGACAGATATAAGAGTATTAGATGGCTGTGTCATCTGCATTGAGGGACAGACAGGGCAGATACAAGAGTCTTAGATGGGTGCATCATTTAAGGGACAGGCAGGAGCAGATATAAGAGTCTTAAATGGCTGTGTCATTTAAGGCACAGACAGGACAGATATAAGAGGCTTAGATGGCTGTGTTATTTGCATTGAGGAAGAGACGCGACAGATACATAATAGTTTTAGATGGCTGTATCATTTAAGGGACAGACAGGAGAGATATAAGAGTCTTAGATGGCTGTATCATTTAACGGACAGACAGGAGAGATATAAGAGTCTTAGATGGCTGTGTCATTTGCATTGAGGAAGAGACGGGACAGATACATAATAGTTTTAGATGGCTGTATCATTTAAGGGACAGACAGGACAGGTATAAGAGTCTTAGATGGGTGCATCATTTAAGGGACAGACAGGACAGATATAAGAGTCTTAGATGGCTGTGTCATTTGAGGGACAGACAGGACAGATATAATAGTTTTAGATGGGTGTATCATTTGAGGGACAGACAGGACAGATATAAGAGTCTTAGATGGCTGTATCATTTAAGGGACAGACAGGACAGATATAAGAGTCTTAGATGGCTGTGTCATTTGAGGGACACACATGACAGATATAAGAGTCTTAGATGGCTGTGTTATTTGCATTGAGGGACAGACAGGACAGATATAAGAGTCTTAGAAGGCTGTGTCATTTGCATTGAGGGACAGACATGACAGATATAAGAGTCTTAGATGGGTGTATCATTTGAGGGACACACACAACAGATATAAGAGTCTTAGATGGCTGTATCATTTAAGGGACAGACAGGACAGATATAAGAGTTTCAGAAGGCTGTATCATTTGAGGGACACACACGACAGATATAAGAGTATCAGAATTTCAATATGTTGATGTTTAATTACCTCATTTGAAGCATAACAATTCAATTTCATCAATTAGTATAGTCTTACTTCTTGTTTTAGCAAATCAAAAAAACTATTTACCGTAATGACCTGGTCCATTGATTAAACCAATCAGAGTTGATTGACTGCTGTGAACATTTTATTGTAGAGATCTACAACCACACTTTAATTATGTCAGTGATTAGATAATACATTGTACCTCATAAAATGGGTCTTCATTTTTTTCTTTGCACTTAATACTGGCATGACTGTAAAAATATACCCATCATTCCTTATAAACATGAGGGCTGGACACAAATATATCCTTGGAAGAATTCTGTAACCTTTAACTGGACCTCTGGTTCTTAGGTCCCTAGTTTAGTGTATATGTTATATCACCCTCCCTCCTTCTTTGTTGGATGTTTCCATAATGCACTCCCATGCGATTTAGTTTTTCCTTTTAATAACTGATGTTTAATTTTGCAAATAAAAAATGTGAATGCACGTCACCATGTGGTGTCAAATTTTAGATAATTGTCAAATTGTCATCTGCACACTGTACTAGCAAAACATCAAAGTAGCACAGTGGGACGATTCTTGACCCACAGATATGAGTACTGGAGGAATTAATAGAGAAGCAAACTGCTGAAAAGGGAAAATAATTAAAGATTTGATGAAGAAGTTGCAGAAGAAATAATGTGCAAGGTTTTCAGAATCTAAACATAGAGGAAAACAAAAAATAATCAAACATTGCCTAAAATGTATCTTTAATATGTAAGAAAGTTATGTGAATATATTTTTCTTTTTGATATGTGTAGCAGAAATGTGATAAACAGTTTATACAAATTTATAAAAAAAATATGTGATATGCCCTGAATATCAGCCCTGTGACTTATATATAAAAAAACTTTTCATCTGAAAAGGGTTGGATATCAATATGATCATATTATAACTATATTTAATTTATGTAGATGTCTATTGTAATACAAGAACAGCTTGACTTCACATTGTATGGTACTTGTAGCATCAACCTTTTTTCTGATCTATTTATATATGTATGTAAAGTCTTTCAAACATCATTTCAGTTTAAAATCTACAAGATTCCACGTAGTCGTGAAGTGAAGCAGTCATGGATAACAACTGTTCTGTCGACATTACAGGCCATGCTGGTCTGCTTTCCACTAGTGTTCAGACTCCGGCCAAACATCGTAAGTAAAACTGTAGCTGGTTGATCAGGTCCCTGGAGCTTAAACGTACTGTATATGACTTGTGTATAATACTGTGTGAAATTCTTCAGCTTTAGAGGTAAACAATCTGAAATAGGCGATTGTCTAAAATTTCATGTTTAGTTAAACAAAGTTGGCCACCAAGGTTTCCGATAATCTGATACATTTTGAGCTATGAATGAAATTCTATTGAGCAAATTTGGTTTAATTTTCATTTATCTGCTTAAAAGTAAAAGAAATAGTTTTGAACCAATTAGAAGATCTGTGATGGCCGCTGACGATTCTGATTGTCTGACACAAATTACCTATAGCTCATATTCTCTGTCTTCGTTTAAACTTCATGAAAATATTTCTTTCATGAACTTTAATATCTTTCCTGTAGCTTGCTGTAGAGAGCTATCAGTTAGGTTCAAATAAATTAGTTTGACCTACTTGCAAGGTCACAGTGGTCATGTTTGTTAAAATCTTGAAATGAAGGCCTGAAGCTGTGATATTTTTATCAACCTGTTCAAATGAATAATCTTGACCCCCAGTCAAGGTCACATGGTTCAAATGTGTTGAAATCTTCAAACAATTTCTTCTTATGATACATAAGTCCCAGAGTGATGGTGATATTTGGCCATTTGGCTTGGATGAAGGACTATCACCAAATTCAAGGTCACAAAGGTCAATCTTCAAATAACTTCTTTTTATGAACCATCAGACATAGAATCATGATATTGGCCTGTAGAAAGGTAAAGGACTATCAAGTATTTAAAGAAAGGAGTGTCAAAATCTAATATGAGTATTATGGTCTACTGATTAACTGTAGTGTTCACTTAAGCATTTGTTCATTTAAATAGATTTTAAAAACATTATGAAATAACAGGTGAGTGATAAAAAAGTAACTGCCCTTAATCATTGGTAGACTGATATGTCCTTTGATTATCATAAATCTTTATATAAAAAAATGCATAAGAACAATCTGGAATTCACAGAGGTTGAGTAAACTAACGAGACAAGATGTCTCTCAATCCACATCCTTATCAACGGTCAAGAAATGCCATGGTTGTAATGGGTAGTACTAAAGCTAGGTGATTACCGCAGTGTAATCAATATCCGACACTTGATGAACTAGCCAAAGCCTGCATTGTGGAACGGGTTATACATGTTCAGTTTTCATAGTTGATTAGACTGTCACTGACAGAGTAATGTTGTTGTGTAGTTGTGATGACTGTTTTAGTACAAATAGCTCAGCAAGGTGCGTTGGCTGTTTAAGAGTTCAGTATAACAAGACACAGTCAATAGACTAATGAACTTAGGTGTGTACCGGTAAGTTTGATATGATTTGTTGAGTACTAATGAGATGCATTGATATCTCGAGCCAGAAAAGGAAATGATTCATTGACATCTTTTGATCTGATGGTATTGACCTCTGTTATTCTCAAATCATTGACCTCTGTTGTTCTCAAATTATTGACCTTTGTTGTTCTCAAATTATTGACCTTTGTTGTTTTCAAATTATTGACCTTTGTTGTTCTCAAATTATTGACCTTTGTTCTCAAATCATTGACCTCTGTTGTTCTCAAATCATTGACCTCTGTTCTCAAATTATTGACCTCTGTTGTTCTCAAATCATTGACCTCTGTTGTTCTCAAATTATTGACCTTTGTTGTTTTCAAATTATTGATCTTTGTTGTTCTCAAATTATTGACCTCAAATCATTGACCTTTGTTGTTCTCAAATCATTGACCTCTATTGTTCTCAAATCATTGACCTCTGTTGTTCTCAAATCATTGACCTCTGTTGTTCTCAAATTATTGACCTTTGTTGTTCTCAAATCATTGACCTCTGTTGTTCTCAAATCATTGACCTCTGTTGTTCTCAAATCATTGACCTTTGTTGTTCTCAAATTATTGATCTCAAATCATTGACCTTTGTTCCCAAATCATTGACCTCTATTGTTCTCAAATCATTGACCTCTGTTGTTCTCAAATCATTGACCTCTGTTGTTCTCAAATTATAGACCTCTGTTGTTCTCAAATCATTGACCTTTGTTGTTCTCAAATTATTGACCTCAAATCATTGACCTTTGTTCCCAAATCATTGACCTCTATTGTTCTCAAATCATTGACCTCTGTTGTTCTCAAACTATTAACCTTTGTTGTTTTCAAATTATTGACCTTTGTTGTTCTCAAATCATTGACCTTTGTTCTCAAATCATTGACCTCTGTTGTTCTCAAATCATTGACCCCTGTTGTTCTCAAATTATTGACCTTTGTTGTTCTCAAATCATTGACCTTTGTTGTTCTCAAATTATTGACCTCAAATCATTGACCTTTGTTGTTCTCAAATCATTGACCTTTGTTCTCAAATCATTGACCTCTGTTGTTCCCAAATCATTGACCCCTGTTGTTCTCAAATTATTGACCTTTGTTGTTCCCAAATCATTGACCTTTGTTGTTCTCAAATTATTGACCTCAAATCATTGACCTTTGTTGTTCTCAAATCATTGACCTCTATTGTTCTCAAATCATTGACCTCTGTTGTTCTCAAATCATTGACCTCTGTTGTTCCCAAATCATTGACCTCTGTTGTTCTCAAATTATTAACCTCTGTTGTTTTCAAATTATTGACCTTTGTTGTTCTCACATTATTTACCTCACATCATTGACCTTTGTTGTTCTCAAATCATTGACCTTTGTTCTCAAATCATTGACCTCTGTTGTTCCCAAATCATTGACCTCTGTTGTTCTCAAATCATTGACCTTTGTTGTTCTCAAATTATTGACCTCAAATCATTGACCTTTGTTGTTCTCAAATCATTGACCTCTATTCTCAAATTATTGACCTCTGTTGTTTTCAAATTATTGACCTTTGTTGTTCTCACATTATTTACCTCACATCATTGACCTTTGTTGTTCTCAAATCATTGACCTTTGTTGTTCTCAAATTATTGACCTTTGTTGTTCTCAAATCATTTAACCTCTATTGTTCTCAAATCATTGACCACTGTTGTTCTCAAATTATTGACCTTTGTTGTTCTCAAATCATTGACCTTTGTTGTTCTCAAATCATTGACCTCTATTGTTCTCAAATCATTGACCTCTGTTGTACTCAAATCATTGACCTTTGTGGATCTTCAATGTTGACAAAATATTATTGGATATATTTGGTTAGTTAAAATTACCGGAGGGACCAACTGCAGTTAACCTTCACCATGCATTTGGCCTACATTGCTTAATAAGTTTAGTCCCCACTGGTTCCTGGCGTGTGGTGTACAAGAAGTATGTTAGTATGACCTATATCCTGAGATAGGTGTACGGCTCCGTAAATTAAGAAATCATTATATTACAGGTGGGAGACTATAGATTGCCTTGCAATACTTTGCCTTGCTAGGAAAGAAAGATTTATGGAATTGCATTTTAAATCACTATACATCAACAGTCAAGGTCTATTATTCCTATATAGCTGTGATCGCTAACGCGCACAGTCATTGTACTACTGTGTGCTATCAAGCGTGAGCTTCAGACCACTCACTATCCCAAGAATTTCGGTTCGATCCCAAGTGGTGGTGGAAAAAAAGAGAGTGATATCTGATAGGGTTAGTTGTTATCCCTCCGATGGCACGGTGGTTTTTCCCCCGTGGGTTTTCCCCCGTGGGTTTTCCTCCACCACGAAAATACCATTTGTTCCCTTAGCGGCGTCGTAATAAAAGCTCTACAGAGCTTATGTTTGTTGTTGACAATTGTACACGACGTTAAATAAAGATTATTATTTTTATTTTTTTTATAAATAGATGTTTAGTTTCCACACAATGAGTTTAATTTCCTCAATCATACAGTGCTCAATCTTGCAATAATAACTTATGGAATGAAAATACATTACACTGCTGTTTATAGATCAAGAGTTCCTTTAAAAAACTGAATCAGCTATTACCATCATTATCACTTCATATATACATCTATATATAAATCAGCTATTACCATCATTATCACTTCATATATACATCTATATATAAATCAGCTATTACCATCATTATCACTTCATATATACATCTATATATAAATCAGCTATTACCATCATTATCACTTCATATATACATCTATATATAAATCAGCTATTACCATCATTATCACTTCATATATACATCTATATATAAATCAGCTATTACCATCATTATCACTTCATATATACATCTATATATAAATCAGCTATTACCATCATTATCACTTCATATATACATCTATATATAAATCAGCTATTACCATCATTATCACTTCATATATACATCTATATATAAATCAGCTATTACCATCATTATCACTTCATATATACATCTATATATAAATCAGCTATTACCATCATTATCACTTCATATATACATCTATATATAAATCAGCTATTACCATCATTATCACTTCATATATACATCTATATATAAATCAGCTATTACCATCATTATCACTTCATATATACATCTATATATAAATCAGCTATTACCATCATTATCACTTCATATATACATCTATATATAAATCAGCTATTACCATCATTATCACTTCATATATACATCTATATATAAATCAGCTATTACCATCATTATCACTTCATATATACATCTATATATAAATCAGCTACTACCATCATTATCACTTCATATATACATCTATATATAAATCAGCTACTACCATCATTATCACTTCATATATACATCTATATATAAATCAGCTACTACCATCATTATCACTTCATATATACATCTATATATAAATCAGCTACTACCATCATTATCACTTCATATATACATCTATATATAAATCAGCTACTACCATCATTATCACTTCATATATACATCTATATATAAATCAGCTACTACCATCATTATCACTTCATATATACATCTATATATAAATCAGCTATTACCATCATTATCACTTCATATATACATCTATATATAAATCAGCTATTACCATCATTATCACTTCATATAAACATCTATATATAAATCCTTACAGATGTTCTTTACTTTAACTATACAAATTTATTTGAATTGTCATTTTTTTGTTAAAATATTAGGTAGGGCAGCATATTTTGCATTCTGAAAAAAATTGTCTTCATGTAAATATTTATTCCCTAATATAAAAACGAAGTTGAGTGCTATTTTTGAGTTGCAATGTTGTTGATTTAAAAATATTTATCTCCCCGCATTTTTTTTAACTTTTCAATGGGCTTAAAAAATCATCAAAGTCAGTGATCATGAGGAGACCAGGTTTTTAAATACTTTTCTTTCTCTTAACACTTCCTATAGCATACAAAGTTATATGCTGAAAACTTAATAATTACTTTGAAAGAAGGATGCTTAGACAACTCATGGTTGATTCATGCATAATTAAGATTCAATCTTAATGGAATTTGTTGGATTACTCACAAAACTATATCATCAATTTGTATTATTTATAACTGAAAAATGTTGATAGAAAGTTAAAAAAAAAAGATTTATTCATTACAGAAAATATGTATCCCAAAATGTTCATTTTAATAGAAATTAAACACTAAAGAGAGAGTACTCATGATTTTGTTTTTTGTTTTTTAGTAAGCTGAATTTTAATCAAATAGATTATTTAGTTAAAACTAAATACATCATCTGAGTTATTCTATTTAGGCATTAGTTGCAAAACATAGTGATATATATATTCTTTCAGTTGGCAGAAATTTTACCTGTTTTATCTTGATGAAATGTCAGATACAAATCTAATTTTCATCCTTGTTAATTTGAGTCCATTGATGGCACTCAACCATTCCATGACCTTATGTTTTGATGAGGACAATCTAACGTACAATTCCATTTAAAGGTAACACTGGTAATGGACACACCTGTGTAAATAATAATAATAATAATAATTGGAGGTTCTTATATACCGCTTTATCACATCCTAGTTCGTAGGTCGTCTCAAAGCGGTTCACAAATTATTATCCGTGGTTATATAATTATAGGGCCTTTGCAACCAGCCAATACATTTCTCAACTCCCTGGGGAGCATACAGCTCGGTAATTAATGTATGTAGTAATGTCAGTCAAGGAAGCAGAATGATTGACACTATATCAATGTGTAATGGTTACACTGTAACAAATTTGACAAATATATAATTGTCACATAAACCAATAATTAACATACAGATTGATTACATGGTCCTCGTCTTTGAATCCAAAAGACTTATCTTCTTGAACTTTGTTATGGTGATACATTGTGGTATTTAGATGTGCAGTAGTTTAGGGGGTTAAACAGTAGTTGGGTTACTGTCGTTTAAAAATAGACCATTTGGGTACGGTCAGGTACATGGCAGGGCCCTCGCTGTCTGTGGTCAGTGTTAAAGTTGTATAGATATCATACAATTCTGGGCAATCCTTTGTGAAAATAGATATTTTCCTTAAAAATATAAAACACAGTTAGATAAACACCTGGAAGAAGTCCTCATTGTTCTTTTAAAAAAAATTATATCTATTTGTTATCACTAGATATCCATTATTACTTAAGTCACAACTAATTACTTCGTGTCCGAGTCCTGACACCAATATATTTTTGTTGCCGCAGGACTACACAACCATTCTCACCTGTGACTGTGTTTTGTTTCAGATCCTCTGTAATGGTCCTGGAACCTGCATACCTCTCTGTACAGCTGGATTCCTTCTGAAGGTAAAATTACACTTAATTTTGTATTTACATCAAGAACAGTACCATTTAGACACAACTTATGAAAACAAAACCATTTCCGAGGTGTTGTATTCTTCGCCCTGTTTTACTAATAAAGAACTCCACTGAATCTACCCCTGGTACCATCCAACAATGCTACTACAACTTGTTATATCAGGACTGCTGTACATCCATATTTTCTTTATCACAAAATTTGCTTCCTTGATCCAGAAGTGTGCTATCACGATTGCAAAATAATAAGATATAATAGGACTAAAATAAAAGTGCAACAAAAAATGTAGAGTCATGACTTGTAAAAGTCATGTTTGTTTGAATGTAATTCAAAACTTTGCCTCCAGCGACTTAAGTGTCTGGATAAATGGGATTGGCTGTCATGTGTGTCACTGTTTAAACTGATATACAATTGTACAAGTATTTCTCTATAAAACTATTCTCTATTACCTTCATATTAAACAAAGTATTTCATTAAAAACGAGTAAATGTAATTGGAAATTCTTCTACTTTATTTTTTCAGATACTTACTCTTGGAAAGACACAGATAATATACGTAGAAAGTGTGTGTCGTGTGGAGACCCTGTCTATGTCGGCCAGACTGCTGTACTATGTCGCTGACGATATATTCGTACAGTGGGACCGTCTACAGAAACGCTACCCCAGGTCTAAATACATTGGTCGCCTGGTGTAGTGTTCGTACAGTGAGAGATTCTACAGAAACACTACCCCAGTTGTAAATACACTGGTGCCTGGTGCAGTGTTCGTACAGTGAGAGAGTCTACAGAAATGCGACCCCAGGTGTAAATACATTGGTTGCCTGGTGTAGTGTTCGTACAGTGAGAGATTCTACAGAAACGGTACCCCAGGTGTATATACATTGGTCGCCTTGTGTAGTGTTCGTAAAGTGAGAGACTCTACAGAAACGCTACCCCAGGTGTAAATACATTGGTCGCCTCTTGTAGTGTTCGTACAGTGTGACCGTCTACAGAAATGCTACCCCAGGTGTAAATACATTGGTCCCCCCTTGTGGTGTCCGTACAGTGAGAGATTCTACAGAAACGCTACCCCAGGGGTAAATACATTGGTCCCCTCGTGTAGTGTTCGTACAGTGGGACCGTCTACAGAAATGCTACCCCAGGTGTAAATACATTGATCCCCTTGTGTAGTGTTCGTAAAGTGAGAGAGTCTACAGAAACGCTACCCCAGGTGTAAATACATTGGTCCCCTCGTGTAGTGTTCATACAGTGGGACCGTCTACAGAAACGCTACCCCAGGTGTAAATACATTGGTCCCCTCTTGTGGTGTTCGTACAGTGAGAGATTCTACAGAAACGCTATCCCAGGTGTAAATACATTGGTCACCTCATGTAGTGTTCGTACAGTGAGAGATTCTACAGAAACGCTACCCCAGGTGTAAATACATTGGTCCCCTCGTGTAGTGTTCGTACAGTGGAAGAGTCTACAGAAATGCTACCCCAGGTCTAAATACATAGGTCACCTCGTGTAGTGTTCGTACAGTGGGACTGTCTACAGAAACGCTACCCCAGGTCTAAATACATTGGTCGCCTGGTGTAGTGTTCGTACAGTGAGAGATTCTACAGAAACACTACCCCAGGTGTAATTAGATCCAATTACTAATTATTCATCACAATATTCATCACAATACCAGACATATCAACAGTGATTCATTCCATGTGCCTTACCATGTAAAGAAAATAAACAAAACCTAGCATCATAGACACTTCATTATAACATACTGAAGATGATATTTTTTGGGCACAGCAGATTCTGTGGTGTGATTGATCTCAACCTTTTTGGAGAATAAATGAGAGCTGTTCTTTTTTGACTGGTTTTATCCAATTTGTTATCAAAAAGTCGAGAAATACTTTTCGTTATTAACACTATTGATTTATTTCATTATAAAATTGTTCCAGTTGACCTTTGACTTCTGCTATGAAAGCAAAGTGTTTTATAGCTTAATGGTGTATGTTATTGAAAGTTCCTATAGTTTCATTAGCCAGGCTAATTATCATTGATCTTTACATCCATTGAACTACACTAATGTCATTATCAAAACTTTACAATATAGTCTCTACGAATACTGCAGATGTCCCGTGTTCATTATTCTGAAGCTGTAAAATATCCCCAGATCTCTCAACCCGCTCAATGATTCTCCCATCCTTTCCTGTCTCAGCTTTATTAAAGTTTTGTTTCCTGATATTTTATGTTTTGTGGACTAATAAGTTATTTTTATGAACATGGAAGCCTCATTGCTAACACTGGGCCATGCTGGCTCTGAACTGTTTGATATATCATCTTGTGTATTATATGTGATATGTATATAATATGTATATAAAAACCGTATATATAATATAATGGTTTAGGCTTTCAGTTAATTAGCAACAACAAAACCCTCGCTCATAAATAATCCACGATTCTCCCAGCTAACGTGAAACAATACATTTTTGTTAATTATTGGTTGTTTTCAAAATGACTCTTGTGGCATTTTTGAAGATCAAATCAATAATGATTTTTGAGATGCATGTATGCTCCGGAAATGCGAATACGTACCAAATATATACCAAACTTTATCTGTCATCTGAAATAAAATAGCTAAAAATACCGAAATGTACCTTTTTGTTATGAGATTGACTTATGTATCAAGTTTGATCAATTCTGTAGCAGTTTTATGATACATAAGCTACAGACACGAAAATATGCACCAAAGCATTAATAAAATCTATTACCTGTAACTGAGCAAGATCGGGTTATCTCAGTCGAGGGTTAAGATTCTGTAACAAAATCCAAACCGAGGCATAAGCCTCGGTCGGGATGTTACAGAATCTTAGCCTGAGACTGAGATAACCTGATCTTGCTCAGTTACAGGTAATTCGGGGGGGGTTTCTCGCACCTTTTAGTTCAAAAAAAACTATTCAATTTTGCTAAAAACTACAAGTATCCCGCCTTGGGCCTCAACTGCCATTTCTCAGTAGAATTTCTTAAAAATTTGTAGTTATATTGATATGAAGTAAAGAAAATTTTCTGCCACAAAAAAAATATAGGTTGTCAGAATTTTAAGGATTTTAAATGGAAATTTATGTAAAAAGGAGTGAATTTTGAAAAAAAAATCATAGACACATTTTTTGGCAAAATAATGTCAATAAAAATGATACTGACATAGATTAGTATTGCATTAATGTATAAATGCCAAAATTGTGTAAAATTAAGTATCTATAAACGATTTAAAAATGACATTTTATAATAAAACCATATACACATAGTAATTGCATGTAAGAGTTATCGTTCTTGGAAAAACTTCACAGTAATAAAATAGGTAGCCGGTTTCCTGAAGTACAGAAAAATGGACACATGTGACTCATTTATTAAAAAGACCTGAACTAATGCCTGGATTGCTTTGAAATACTTTAATATTGAAAGAACACACTGTGCTGTCAATAATAAACATACAATATTTATCAGTTTAATATTAAACGTTAATATATCCGGAAATTGTGAAACTGTCTCCCTACATTGGACTTTCAACTAGGGATGAACTTCCTATTTCCGTTTATCAATACACCCCTATGACCTTAAATGAAATATCGTCAAAAAAGTCTTGTGTATGTTTTACTTAAGGTCATTGGAGTGTATTGATAGTTCTTGGAATCAAAAACTTAAACAAAAAATACCAAAAGGCAATCATCTGCATTTGATTGGAAATAAAATCCTGAACGATTTTTGAGATCTGCTATGGAAACTCAAATATGCCCTTAAATGTACATAATTCGGCGCCGTGTCCATGATCAATGGTCAATTATTGTAATACCAACTTCATTGGGGCATAGGGGTTATGATAAAAGTGATAATATGCCCGAGATGGTGTATTTATATCCTAAAGCAATCGTATCACAATAAATACTTTATGTAGGTATGGTATGAGAAGCAATTTTTGTCTCGTCCCAACTAAGTAGCGGAAGCGAGGCTATGGTGTTGCTTTTCCGGCGACGGCGTCAACATTATTGTCTTTTGCGTTTTTAGTTGGTTTCACTGAAAACATAAGTGCTACACCAACCAAACTTGGACCATAGATGCATCTTAGGTAGTACATCCTAACCCATGCATCACATGCTGGATGTCTACAATGAATTTGTTTCCCCGACATGTGTATTGGTGGTCAAAGCGGGGCACATGCGAGACACATCGGTCCGAATGTTTTTTTATATATTTTTGTAACACTTACACGTCCTGCCCAACTGATTCCGACCCCGGTTTCATGATGTCTTTTCTTCGTTTTGTCTTTCCTTCGTTTTGTCTTTCCTTCGTGTTGTTTCTCTGTTCGAATCCTTTCGAGTTCTGATTTTATCTCTATGTGTTGACGGTATGGTAAATGTTCCCCCTTTTAACCTTTCTACTAATGACGAAGGGAATCATTTTTTTGAATATATTCTGAACAGCAAATTGAAGAAAGGGGAGAGGCATTTTGAACGGAAACGATGACCGGAAAACGTTGACAAAGTAATCGGGGGTTTCTGTCTCTGATGAAGGGACACGGAGAAAACCTCTGCTGCCACGAATTGCAACCCTTTGAATTACTATCTTTACTTTTCACTCAGATCATTCAAACATATTTTACTAAAGTTTCACAACTTATTATGCCCTCTCTTGATACCGGGAATCCCCACAAACAGCAGGCGAAATCAGAATCTCTAGCAAGGCACACGCCACATAATACCCTCTATGATATGTCCTATTAAATACAGGGGAAAAGTATGTAGATCACGAACGTTCAGACACAAGAATACATGTCATGGTAGACACTGAATTATCAGGGAAAAATATTATGTACTTTTAAAAGCACTCCTTTAGACTTGTCTTGTTAGTTGTAGTTCATTCTTCGCGGAGCCGTCTTTCCAAGAAAACCCTGATGCTTGTAACAAGATCTGGGGTAACAAACCAACTGTGAAACGTTTGATCTAACTGACATGTCAATACTGAGAAACTGACGACAAAGAAATCAATATAACACTTCTTTGGTTTTAATGTATCCATTGTAGCGAATTTAACGTGTACTCCAGGCTTACCAACTGTTTCTAATATCAACATTTTATTTATTATGTAATTTGTTTGAAAATATATCAAACACTATATTTAAACAAGGAACTCAAGACCGACGTTTTCGTAAATTATATTATTATCAGTCATACTGGAGAAACACTAGATAATTGTTAGAAATTCCACATTATTACTAGGAAAACATCACGAATAATAGAATACTAGATAATTCTATTTCAAATTCACGATATCTGTTGGTATATCAGCAAATGAAGGTAAGGCATATTGTGTTCTGTTTTATTTGTTGTTTTATAACAACCTATTATGACGTCATGAGGTTCAACTTGATCAGACGATGACAAGACAGAAATGACAAAGAAAAACAAACGGGTAAGGGTGCATGCAGTATACAGTTGGGTGTAACAGGAATGATTTGCTGTCAAATTCATTATCTTATTGAAGTTCTGTATAAAATATGTGTTTGCTGTTTTCTCAATGTTTTTGATAGTATAGATTGAGTGAATGTATATGTATAACCTTAATCTAGGACATCTCATTAGCCGCAGATACCGGCCTCAGCTTGTTTTTTCAGTTCCTCCACAAACTCGCACACACTTCAATTGATCACATGCATTAGCAGTAATACGGTTAGTGACGGGTATCCTGGTGCGAGCCTATCATCTCGTCAGTTAGACACTGACCGGGGAATTAATTGGTTATGAACGTGCGAGTTGATTGGGCATTGCAATTTAGTCAAAGAGCTTTTCGTCTAATGCCAAAGTTTGACGATGTTTCTCGAATTAATGCGTTACTAAGGAATTTGTTATGAACGAACGAGTTGATTGGGCATTGCAATTTAGTCAAAGAGCTTTCGTCTGAGGCCAAAGGTTTAACGACTTTTTTCGATTAAGTGTGTTAATAAAGAGGCTTCCATTGCTTATTGAATTTACATGTCACAGTTGATTCTGTAAACCAGAGTTTGTTTTAGATATCAGAATGTTCCGGGTAGACGCGCTCTGTTAAATAATGAACTACGTCACCAGGGATCTGTACGGCAGAGGTTTCAGCTATACTGAGGTACGGTCGTCATCACGACATGATTTTCCATGATGGGATTTCAGTATCTGCAATTATGATAAACCGTCCGAGATCGTTGATCCCAGAATCGGACTTCAGACAATATGTCGGATGCTATATAGGCTTGGTTTCGCTATCTTTTTCTCTGTCTTCTGTTAGATTTCGAGTCACCTTGGTTTTTGGTTTTGTCATTGTCTGTATTCTATCATATTGACATGGTTTGCCGATTTAAGCCCTGTGATTTGACGCAATGTTCTTTTTTATTCCGTTGCACCTTGAGATATTATTCAAGATGAAATAAACACCCATTAATTGCCAAAAAACTGTGTTGTTAATTTATCGGTGGTTTTTTCTGAGATTACGTCAAATTACTTACGATCCAAATTATTTTCAACATATATTCACAATTTTGTTTTATTTATATAAGCTTAAACATGAAGCACAATATTTCGGATATCAATTATACAATTTGAACATAAACATGATTTTCATTAAAAAAACATGTTTACAATATAAATCTTAGGCAATTGATTTAAAAAATTAAACCATAGAACGTGGGGTTAACGTAACAAATAAAACATAGAATAAATGTTAACTAACCAAAGGCATTCATTGTTCAAATTATTGGTTTTAGTAGACATACGTATAAAAGTGAATGTATCACTATGTGTCTAGTGATGACATTGTAATAGCTGTGCCCACTATGTGTCTAGT